TGCTTTGTGATAAAAAGAAACAAAATAATTTCATTCTTTGAATTGAAAGACGTTATTAATGGTCGTTGTACTGAATGTACCTGTATATTTCTTTTCAAACCAAAATTGAACATTTTATACTTCTATTAAATAATAATTACCCCTATATATTTCATCAAATTTGACATTATGATTGATCTCGAAAATTTTAAATTAAATAATAATTGCTTTTCAAAATTGTAAAAACTTGGGTTGGATATTTGAAGAAGTAATCATCAAATTTACAGTAAAAAATTACCTAAAATATGGATTGATAATGCAGTATCAATTTGTGAAATACATAGTTATAGCTGTAATTGAAAACATATGCATATATGTTTGATGTTTATGAAATTAAAACTTTTAAACTATGCTCGTTTTAAATTGAAATGAAAATGCATAATGGTAAGTGGTGCATTCGAATGAATGCTGCATGCAATAATTAGGAACAAAAGTATATGCAAATCGTCGGGAAATGTCCATGTGCACGAAGTGAATCTGTTGAGCTGAATTTGGGTTCACTATGTGCTTTTAATTTGCAACCGGACGAGCTGTGCAAGAGCGTTCATTCCACCTTCTCTTTTTTTTTCCCACCCATCATTTATTTCTTTATTTGGACTGCGGATGCTTGGGGTTGTTATTTAAATTGCATATTAATTCAGCAAGTAAGCGGAGTAATCGTGAACTAGAATGCTTTCGCCGAATGCTAAATGTAATTTCAAACATTTCAACTAGTAAACTAACAAACCGCCCTCCTGCATATAATTTTCCAGAGTCTGGTTTCTAAACAAGCACAATATATTTCCACTAGGATAATCCCAGAGCTCATCTTTGCTGCCTCCGTCGTCCGTATAAGTATGTGTATGTATGTGTGTTTGGATGTATGTATGTATGTAGGTTAAAGTTAAATAATTCAAAATACATGTTCAAATTTACATACAACTGTGTATGTGTTGGGATTTATGCATTGTTACCACCATTATAACTCACATGCACTTGACTGGGCTCTTCTCTTCGTCCGGGCATTTACTTTTATTTCTTCCATCCTTAAATATTCAATGTGCCACGTGAAATACACGCCGATAAATCCGGAATTCCCTCGCATGAAATATTTAATTTCATTTGTACAATATCTCGTGGGCGCGATATTAAATATATATGTAAACAGTGGACAGTCATGGTATTATGCATACGCCGGGGATTATATTTTATAGGCATTTTCACGTAACCATTTCCTTATCTGACCCATAAATAATTCACAGTAGAACCGAGCTTTGTATTGCGCAAAGGAACGCCGTACGCATTTTACCATATTTTTGTTGTTGTTGTATATAGAACGCACTTTTCATATAAAAAAAATAAGTAGTAGAAGTTATATACAAAGAAGTAGTGAAGTTGCTGAAAATAACTAATTTAATTCCTATTTTATTAGGCTCCAAAAATATCATTTTAATTTCAATGTTTTAAAAGTATGTATTTTATAAGCTTTGTTCAAACCTATATAAGTTGACTATAAATTCACAATATATATATAGAAAAATAAGGTAAAGTCTTCTCTCCCAAGTTTTTTTCTTCATTCTGCGATTTGTTTATAAAATTTATATAATTTAAATGAAAATTAGGTTTCTCTGCTTTTCAGCAAATTGCAATTAAGCTTTTTTTTCAGTTCTAATTAAACCGATTTTGCCCATAAGTCGATACATCACATCAAAACGTAACGAGTTTTGTCAAGTAGATGCAATTTTTTTTTCTAAATTGGATTTTCCAGGTCAACAGTTATTGGTAGATTAAAGAATCGGAATACAATTTCCGGTCAATGCGAAATGCCAGCAGATATTTCAAATGCACCAGATGAATTTAATTGGTTGGCGTTATATTTTTGGATCGTCTTCTGAGGACCCTCTTCCTGTTTGCGTCGATTCTGAAATACTCGCTTTAAACGATTTCGGTAATTACGGCGTTAATTTTGGGGAAGTGTTTCTATTTGAAGAGAGGTATTCGAGGTATTCGAGATAAGGTTACTTACTGTGTTTAGTTAGTGACTAACGTGAGGCGAAGTGCCAGTATATTTAGCGATGCACTTTGTGCTAAGCGCCGAAGACTGTATGATGATATAACATGTGCGTTATTACCGAGACGTAGGGTTCTCGAATCGAATTATCATTTGTTCTTGAGATATGAGGGATTGCGCGTGAATTGCGCCTGGGTTTTAGCTGAAGACAGGATGGAAACATTGAGATATTACACGCCACGCTTTCCATCCAAATGCTGCTACCTGAGCTACATTAATGTATTCCATTCATATTTGCATCAAATGTCTGCACTCACCAGGAACGTGTTCATATATATTATATGCATATAGACAAAGCTTCTTCGGATGAAATACAATAAATGCGTAAACTTAATTTAAGCGATCGAACATTTTTTTTTTGTCGACGATGGCGAAGAGCGGGGTGTGGGAGGGTTATGGAGATCAGATCCGATTCGAATGTCTGGCCTGAGCTTTCGCCTCGCCGGTCGCATATTTTATTTACAATTTGCATCTCGAAATATTGCCAGTCTTGTGCAATGCCATGCATTTTTCTCGGAGACCACTAAATGAAACGAACTTCCGAAGCCAACTCATATATATATATATAGCTGTCATCTATATGTATACATTTTGGAAGCCGGACATGGAAATTAAGATTCGCAAAAGGATCCAGTTTGGCTGCATTCGTATACGACCGAAAGCAATTTCGCCGAGTGTTCTTTTCAGTTCAATTTTTCTCTATCTCTCTTTTTCTCATTCCTCCTGTCTGTTTTCTTTCGCTCAAACCCAAAGTTTACTATAAATACATTTCAAAGGATTCCTTGCTTGAAGCGTGAACGTTAACAGCATACTATAGCGGACAATAAATAAGCCATATTACGTATTCAATATATTTTCCCTGGCATTTAAGCAAAAAGGAAATATTCTACATTTAAACTATGTAGAATATTTCAGTATGTCAATCTAACAAAAACTATAGGAATATTACTTAAAATAAATAAATTTATAAGATATAAGTTTCTTCATAAAGTTATTGGTCATGATGATAGTAAAATTGGTATGTGTAATTCATATATTTTCTTGGCGAAAACTATTTTCTATTCTGTTTAATAATGCCTATACTTTAGTTATATAATATATGTAGTAGAAAATATATTAATTAAACTCTATGGGTAATGATGTGGAACGTTGGATAACATTTTTGGAAATGTACTAACAAAGAATTAATTTATCATAAAATCGCGACGTGTGGGTTATTACGATAGTGAACGGCGGTATTATAATAACGGCGATTAAACGGCGCATTGTCCTTTAAAAAGCTGAAATTAATTTATAACGATAATAGTAGTTTTACGCGCGCGCCTTATTCTCGTGTGACAATGAAAGTGCATCAATAGGCAATTACAAAATAGGCTTATCGGATCCGACTATGTGTGCATACGGGTACATGCAGTGTACATATAAAATAATAAGTGCCAGGATTAATTAGTATCTCTGCCTTTTGTCCGTCGCATAAACGTACCAAAGGGTGTCATGTCATACAGCAATAAACCTCCCCGTAATTTCGAAAGGAAAACATCCATTATCAGAATTATATATATATGATAGTCTGGATTTCTCGTACAGAGAAAGTTAAATGCATTTCAATGGAAAAGATCTTCATGGCAATTACATTCGTAGATATAGACAACGCTAGTCAGAGGTTTAATTGGATTGTGTGTTTATAAAGAATTACCAACAAATCCCCATTGGACCAGCGAACTACATTTTATAACAGGATTCGTTGCAGCACTAATCCGCATATATGGAAAAAAAAAATCGCTCCGATCCGCGTTCGATTCGAATGCGAATAAAAAAAGAGATGATCATACAAAAGACCAACGCAATGCGAAAACAATAGAAATGGAACTGTTTAATATGAGCGAACACTCAAATAAATTGAAAATTTGCATCATTGATCTATATGTTATCAATAAATTTAACTTGCTTTTCCGTCGACATAAGAATGCACTCAACGTTACATACATCTTAAGCATTAATACATCGATCTATTACGAGTTTTATTGCATACGCAAGTGAATCAAATCCCAGGATTTATTGCCCTGACCTACTTACCGGAATCTAATAAAAATTCTATTAGCCTGTATCACTTGTGCTTTCAGTACAAAGGACAGGAATTTCATTAAATCTGACGAAAATGAATTCCTACGTTACTATTCACTTCAATCACTTCTTATGTCATTGTTGATTTTAAACCGCATAAGTTTATTAAATAATAAAAACATGGATGTGCAATGCATTTGGGCGAAAAAAACTTTAAAAACCTCATCTCTTTTTTAAGGTGGACATGTTTAGTACGAACACGTAATGTAAGTACGTATAAAACGGAGCTATCGCGAAATCTCAACGTCCCGTTGTCAGAACTGTGCATGAATTATAACGAGGCGCAGGATGAAATAACAAAATATGTGCAAAAACACGTGTAAACATGTTCATACTTTATTCATCAAGTTGATGGGTCGCAGCCGATGACTGAAATAATGTAAAGCGCAAAAGCACTGCAGTCTCGATTTACAAAGTTTTCTTAAGCGCAAACGAAGAGTGCTTAGGAAAATATAATGAAATTGTTTTTTTTTGTTGTTGGAGGAAATTGGCTGTTTGAAATTGGAGGCAGTAGTAAATGGAAGAAGAGGATAAACAAAAAAATGAGTATTTTCCGGTGCGGGAATTCCTTTCACAAAGCGCGGTAGTGCGGTTTGCAGTTGGGATTGCCATTAAATACCGTAGCTCCCGATGAGGAATTTCATTGTTATTCGAAGACCAACAAATGGCTAATTTATTGAAATAGTTTATGAACTTTCGAAGTCGATGTGTGATTGCTTCTGTCTGCTTTACTTGTTGTTTGATTTTTGTTTGTTTGCTAACGTGTAGTTTTCCTTCTGTTTTGCAGATTTGAAGAAGCACTTCGAACTGTCTCCGGTATCCACGAAGGTTGAGATCCATCACCAGACGGAGCTCCGATGCACACCACCTGTAGGTCGTCCCATCCCCAGGGTATATTGGTTACGAGGGGGACAACCACTTCAATCTGATACTGCTGTAATAGTAACCAGCGAGGGACACTTACTAATCGGCCAGGCACGAACCCAGGACACAGGGAATTACTCGTGTGTAGCAGAGAATATAGCCGCTAAACGTATCGCACCACCTGCTCAGATTACAGTAGTCGGTGAGTTAATCCTATTAATATCTCCACTGAATCTGTCAGATTACTTTAAGAGATACAACGGGAAACGGGTATTCGGAATTTATAATGCAGAATGATAACTTTATAACGCCTCCGAGGATGGAGACGTTCTTATTATTGTTATTCCAGTTGTTCTTTCTTTGTTTTTATACTCTCGTCCTTGTCAACCAACTTTTGCAGTCTCGCAACTCTCGCAGCCGACGAGAAATAATAACAATTAATAAAAGCGCTCGCATCGGAGGAATTAATTTAACAACTCTAATAAAAAAAAAGCGGAGAAACTTGTATACAACAACCATCGGAATATCATCTTACAGTTCATTACAAGCGATTAATGATGTAAGCCAAGCTCGCGGGAAAAGTGTGGGCTGTAGGAGTGTGCATATTATATTCCAACGAAATACGTGGGGCGCACGACTCGCTTTCCACCTTTTGCTTCCTTTTCCACCGTTCATTTCTACTCTCTTCCTCTCTCAATCTATCTATATTTTCATTTTGTTTTATTTCATACTAAAGCACTTGTAATTTATAAATATGCAATAACTATTATTTTATTAGATTTCAATTACACGCTCACCTAACTCTTGGAATTTATGAACCATCCTCTCCCATATACGGCCGTAGCCATTGCTTCATTAAAACCGAATTTATTTAACATGGCGGACGTTTCGCATCGGATTGAAATTGTTACTTACATACGGACTCTGATTAGAAACTGGTCGTAGTAAATCAGCTGTAACAATTAAACGAATAGCCTCAACAGTTTATCGCTAATATCAGGTTGAATTGCGTAAACGTTAAACTTGACGTTGTAATTCGCTGTTTAGCATCCGATTGCATCTCGCAGCATCTTCCACATCATGTTTAACGTACCAATTTTCAGCAATAAAGGCAGCATTGCTTCGTAAATTAATTGCAAATAATTAGTTGGAACAGGCGACGTTTGCCAAGACTAATTGTTACCAATTAAAATAACAGAAAATTGCTGTGGGACTCTGGAGAGAAAACGCAAAAATAGAGGAGAGCTAATGCCGAATAAAACGAAAGTGGAAACACGACGCACGAGAGATGTGGAAGCGAAAAGGAAGGACGACGGACAGCAAGACGGATTCCGCCTTTTCCTTGATCTTAAATTAAGTAGCGCTACTTGCTCAAACCGTCTGCAACAACTGGAAATAAGTTGGGTTGGGGTTGATGCTTTTCTTGTCAACGGTGTGTGCAGGACCCCAGACTGAGCTTCCGAAACTAATTATTTTTTTAAAAATAACCCACACCTACTCATTTCTACTACCTCCAATTTCTCTCTTTCTCTTTTTTTTCTTTGTCAACACACCCCAACGTATACTTTTAGCTCAAATCTATTTATCTTTGAATAACATACAATTTCACTGTTATTATTTAAAAAAAAATCTACAATAAAATATTACAACAACATTTTAATATAATAGTTGGAGTATGGTAAATAAATTTTCTTGTATTCATCCTATATAGAATTTATCTAACTTAGAATATTTTAACAAGCTTGTATTTTGAGCATTTATGTTTCGAGATCTTACAGTAAGCCGATTGCTAGGGTCCGAGCGATCGGATCGGTTGGATCAATTTTATTATCAAACGTATTCCATTTGGGATAAATCTGTTGCCTAAGCATATTCTAATTCGACTATTTGAAAAGACTTATTACATACATTCAACTAGATATATTTTCAAATAAAACTTTTCCGATAATATACTTTTTTAATACTACTTTAATATACTTATCCAAAAAAATACATGACTTGAAACTGTATAATTGAAGGAATATTGAAAACTATTTATTCGTATAAAAATAATATCAGTTGATCAAAATAATTATACTAGTTTAATTTATATTATCGGAAAAGTAAATATGAAGTGCAAGTGTATTATTAAAAAAAATAATTGAGTTGAAATCTGTATAAATCGAGTTAAGTTTTCAATTTAAATATAAATTAGTATTTGCATCAAGATTAATTTAATAAGAAAATCTTGTCGCCGTGCTTTTGTTGCGTTGCTCCGTCATCTCGGACACAGCAGATGGTTGAAGAAAAAAAAAAGAGAAAAGAAATGAATAACAGGAAACCATCGAGAAAAAAAACGAAGAAAGAAAACAAAAATTGTATCGCGGTATTAAATTGCAATTTTCAATTTGCATTACAAAGTACAAAAAGGCATTGATTAAAATAATGGTTTTGTATAAATAAAATGTAGTTTAGTCCCATTTATATTCATAACATGATTTTAATGAAAGGCGTGGTACGGATGCCCCGTTACTTACTTTTATTATTACCAAAGTACATATATATGTATTCCAGTTTCGTTTCATCTGTGCATGTTAACAGTGGGTTGGAAATGCAGAAATTCGGCTTTCAGATCGGTTCCACTCATTATGGTAAAAGCTTTTATGTGAATAAAAAAACACAGCTATAATTCTGTTTGACGGCAGGCTTAGTCTTCTATCGACTACCGAAAGAAGACCTGCGGACAGGTGTCTTTTTCGGGATACGTGGGCCCTCCGAATAATTCACACAATATATTATTTTTGACACTTTTTTTAGTGTCTGTAATGCTCCACACGCCACCTGCTAACAGGGCGACAGGTGGAATGCTTGGCATTCAACAATCCATCCTACTTGTCATTCTTGTACCCTCATATCTTTGCTTTCGTCGTCTGTTATAGCAGATAAACAATTATTTGTGTGGAAATGTACGTCACGAAGTTGGCTCTCGTACAAAACACGTTCTAATTCGCGGAAAGCAAACGGAGTCAATCTATAGCAAATATGTAATTGTCTTAGAAATCTAATCATAAATCGCATTTGCGAGCGTGTGTCTACTCTATCCATTCCTTTTACTTTTAGCTTTCCATTTTAAAGGAGCAATGCATTTTTTTCCTCGCTGATTTTATGGGTGCATCACCATAGTGGAATTACCATTTGCAATAAAACGGGCGACGCTGCAGAATTTTAATTGCTGCCATGCGATGGGACCTTTTAGAAAGCCTACGAGTGCGGTTATTATTAAGAAAAAAGAAGATTAACAGAGAGAGAGAAAGAGAACAGAGCGGTTGGAAATATTTAAAGAATGAAGAATTCTTGCGTGAGTAATAAATATTTAATCATTGTCTAAATCCTTCGTGAAAGAGGAATCCCGTTGGCTTTCAGCCCTACGGACAGAATGGAAGTCGCCTACCTTAAACTTCGGATTACACATATATTTCCGATTTACTCTTCTTCTGCTTCTTTTATAAATCGTTCATAAGCACCAAGCAGCAATTTAAACGATCCATTAAATCTGAACATAAAAACTTCTCGAGTTGTCCACTTCAGAAATTGGCTTCCCTTCCTGCTCCGCTGACTTCTATTGGTCAGCACATTCTCTGATTCATGGCAGCAAAAATAAATTTCCTGCAAGTACGAAGACGGAAATAAACAGGAAGAGGAAGATAAAAAAAAAGAGAACCGACCCATTGAGTATTTTCATGTTTTCACCTTACGTATTCAATTATTAAACTGAAAGTCAGCGAGAAATAAAGAAATAAATAAATCCATCGAAGACTCGCTCAGCGTTTCCCTCTTTGATTGAGCACCTCGATTTATCCAATCATCACATTTTATGGGTATTTGTAGGATTATTATGTATAATTTGGATCATTACGCGCAATTTGTTAAAAATGTAAGAGCTAATGGTGTAAGTAAATAATGGGGATGGAGCTACCACTTTTTTAGCGAGTTGAAGATTTTTAGAATTTCCATTATTATTGAAATTGCTCAACCATCTGTGTAATTTCTGAGAAATTCATTTTACAAAACGCGGAGTTAAGCAGCGAAACTATAGTATCACTTTCATCAGGAGTGGAATAGCATCTTAAACATCACGAAATTACGTTTTAAAATGTATAATTCAAGAAGCTAAAAACATAATAAATAAATCTGTGGGAATGATAAAGGTAGGAAATGTCTCCCGACATGAGCTTATCTCGTATCCCTCATCAAATTTAGCGTTGTCTGCTTCTTCATCTTTTTCCACTCACATATGTAAATCCGTGGATTGCCGGATGAAAGTTTCGTGCCTCGGAGATTCTCGAAATAATCTCGTCGGCCGCAGAGGTTCGGCAGCATCCCTCAAAACTTCCTGGAAATAATAATATAAAACAATAAATCTCTGGTATGCGGGAAAGGATAGAGAGAGGAAAGAAGCTCAAACAAAAACTGGGAGAACTTCGCTAATTCTGAGGCTGGACTATATTTAGCCAATTAATTCGCGATGCCGCGATAAATTCGACTTTCCCCGCTTTGCAAATGTACATTAGAAAATAAATCTGAAACGCATTCCCCCAAACTTGGATAATCTGATGAATATATAGCCTCACGCTGCCTTTCATTACGGACTTTGTTAAATCAACAAAGCCAAATTAGGTTCCATTTGTCCCTTTTATTTGATCATATTAATTGAATCATGGCTTCTATTTGTCATTTACAAAGAACTAAGAAAGTTAAGAACTCACAATTATGAACCATTACTACAAAATAAAAAAAAAACATATGTATTATATATCGACCACACACATACACCTACGCTTAGCGTAGAATGGGCGAATAATAAATATATTCCAGGGGGTCATTAAATATAAATAAACTGACAGGCATGCTTCCTTTTTGAAAGGACCGAACGTTAAATATGCTTGTCATAACGTTCTGGATGTTGTTGTTGTTTTTTTTTTTACGTTGAGAGTCTAAGCAGCGGGTGTTTGGGCTGGACCATTGTCTTTAGATGCCTGAAGAATTTTAAAGGCCGCGGTTACTACACGTTGAATTTCGTGGTAATTTATACTTGCAGAGAAGAACCAAAGAACAGAAGACCAAGAAAAAATTAAATGTGCACACATACATAATAGTAATATACATAGGTAAAAAGAAAACGATATAAATCAAAAGATCTAGAAGATGACTTGTGTTAAAAGTAAATTAATTCTCCGAGGCATGAGAATCAATTTGATAGTAATTTATTTTGTAATCTTAACTCGTGACTTTGTACTTGCTCGCACCAATGAAATGTTATTAATGTTAAGAGAAAGGCCGAATGAGCGAAGCGAAGAACAACAGCGAAATAAGAACTTGAAAAAAAAAAAAGAAAAGTATACAAGTCGGATGGATGGATTGTTAATGATTGCGTTGCTTTATAGGCTTGGCAAAATTGGGAGGATTGCTTGATTGAATCATAGCGTGACTGTGTCAAATCGGTTTGTCATATGTATCAAAATTACGAGAAAGAAAAATAATGTTCAGTTGGATTATTCGTGACTCGGAAGATAAGCAGACGGCATTCGAGAATGTCGTGGAAGGATTGAAGGTGATATATAAGAATAAATTGCTGCCGTTGGAAGAGGCGTATAATTTCCATGAATTCCATTCGCCCCAACTGAACGATGCAGATTTCGACGCGAAACCACTGATATTGCTTGTGGGTCAATATTCGACGGGAAAGACTACGTTTATTAAGTATTTATTGGAAAGAGATTTCCCTGGAATCCGGATCGGACCGGAACCGACCACAGACAGATTCATAGCGGTTATGTACAATGAAAAGGAGGGCGTTATACCAGGAAATGCGTTAGTAGTGGATCCCAAGAAACAGTTTCGTCCATTATCGAAGTTTGGGAATTCTTTCCTAAACAGATTTCAATGTTCCCATGTGAATTCACCGGTATTAAAGGGCATATCGATAATAGACACACCCGGTATATTGGCAGGAGAGAAACAGAGGATAGATAGAGGATACGATTTTACCGGTGTGCTGGAGTGGTTTGCGGAGAGGGTGGATAGAATAATTTTATTGTTCGATGCCCACAAGTTAGATATTTCAGATGAATTCCGGCGGTCCATCGAAGCGCTGAGAGGCCACGACGATAAAATACGAATAGTTTTGAACAAAGCGGATATGATAGATCACCAACAATTAATGAGGGTTTACGGGGCCTTGATGTGGTCATTAGGAAAAGTCTTCCAAACTCCGGAAGTAGCCCGAGTTTATATCGGCTCCTTTTGGGACCAGCCGCTGAGATACGATGTTAATCGAAGACTGTTCGAGGATGAACATCAGGATCTATTCAGAGACTTGCAGAGTTTACCTAAGAATGCCGCACTGAGGAAGTTAAATGATCTAATTAAAAGAGCGCGCCTCGCCAAAGTGCACGCATATATAATTTCAGAGCTGCGTAGGGATATGCCAACTATGTTCGGGAAGGAAGGCAAGAAGAAGGATTTAATTAAAAATTTGGAGAGGATTTATGAGCGCGTGCAGAAGGAGCACAGTATATCTCAAGGCGATCTGCCTAACATCGCACGTATGAAGTCGATGCTGATGAGCCAGGACTTTTGCAAATTCAACGCGTTGAAACCGAGGCTCGTGGAAATCGTAGACACGATGCTTGCCCAGGACATAGCACAGTTAATGTCGATGATTCCTCACGAAGAGAACACCTTCAAGTCGTGCAAGAAGATCACCGGCGGCGCCTTCGAAATCATCTTGGAGGATAAAATTTCTCCATTCGGTTACAAACGAGGCGAAGGAATTAACGCCGGTTTCGGAGAACCCGACTGGATTGTTAATAAGGAGAGATGCCGATATGATTCACTGTTCGAGACGCTTCAACCTGTTGAAGGAAAAGTATCAGGAGCTGCGGCAAAGACCGAAATGGTAAAATCCAAATTACCGAATGCGGTCTTGGGGAAAATTTGGAAGCTCGCCGATGTCGACAAGGACGGATTCCTCGATCAGGAGGAGTTCGCACTCGCTATGCACCTAATTAATGTTAAATTAGACGGAAACGATATCCCCGATGAACTCCCGGACCACTTGTATCCACCGACGAAGAAGCTCAAGTCTTAAGTTAGTGAGAGAGAGAGTAGTGCGTGTATAAATAAATCATTTGTCAATGCCTTGGATTGAGTGGTGCTTTACACGTATAACTTGCTTTAATAATCCTCTTTGATATTTTTACTGCTCCTGACTTACATCTGTTTACAATTTCACCTAGCACACACTCGCGCTGACAAATGTTGTTATTATACAAGGAACTTTTCACTCCATTAAAACTGCGTTTTATTTTATTTGTACGAAGACAAAGTTAACAACCGGAATTCTCCGTACAATCAATACACGTCTCTCAAACATAAATACTTGCTACTTCAGTATTGATTACAACAAATATGAAGATATAGTAAATACTATTATAGTATAGATTTCTAAAAAAAATGCTGAATATATATCCAATTGTTCCAATCCGATCGATGTGTAAATGGTAGATTTGAATACTAAAATAAAGCAATAAAAATTGCGATTGCGTATTATCAGAGAGACGGATCCGGAAAGCGTCCAATGTAAACAGTATAATTCTTTGATTTGAACGCGTGTCGACACAGTATCTATCTATCTATGGAATAGAATTGGATTTTTCGCGTGGCTGTGGCGTGTTTACGCAGCTTTCATAAAAATAGTGCGCGCTTTTTTCCCCATTCTGTTTGATTCCACGTTATTATTGTTTGTAATTGAAATGTGATTCGGATGCAACGGTTATCTCCGCAGATAGAAAAGAATGTTATGATTTCTGCACGCTCAAAGCTTGCTGCTCATTCTAATAACACGATTACAGTGCATTCATAAACAGCAAATTGGAATTTATGATAACATGACGCGACTTTAGTTTATATTGAATTTCGGTTGTAAACTCGGCTAGAACAACATAATCGAATTGCAAATTCGTGAAAATAAACATAGCTTCGTATGTTCACCATCTCCACACACAAAGTACAGACACAGAAATGCGCGCACACATGCACACACAAACGCACACAGAGTTACATGTTAACTTTGTAATGAAAATAGAATATATTTACTCCGTCCGACTTGAATTTATTGCGGACTTGGAGTAATAAATCTAAGATTGCGGATATGGCGATAAATTCCAACTGGATCAACGTATTAAGGAAACCCGCTCTGCAAACCACAGCAATTATTTTTGAAAACTTATTTTTCGATTTGAATCCAATTATTTGTGCAAACATGAAATGCGATGAGGGTGTTGTTTGTGCGGTGTTGACGGTCGCTGCCCGCGCATATTATTATTTCCATATTGCAACCGACACAATAAACGGCGTTTATTTTTAAAGGTTCCAAGAAGAATAAAAATTATGTCTGCATATGAATGAGCAATATTGCGTGTTGTTTTTAAAATCGTTTCCAATCAATTGGACACGGTGATAACTTCATCATTAATTCAGTAGGGGTTGCTTTAATAGAAATTGCTCGAACGACAAAAAAAAAGGAGAAGAAGGATGCGTGTTATTTTAGTATATTTTTTTATGTTTAGTAATAATATTTTATTGCCCATTGCGAGGTTTTTAAGATTTCCCGTTACTCATTGAACGGAGAAGACGTTTTGTTGGTTCTGTTTCCTTCGTCTTCTTTTTGTGTGTTCGTCTCCTTTATTTTATGGATGACGGAATACATAATCCTTCGTCGGGCAGGGTCCGACCCCTTCGTCAACTTCGTAACTCCGATTTGTTTTGTGTTTGTGTCAGTTTTGCAGCGAACTTTCGGGATGCGTTTTATTTCTACTTAATGGAACTTAAATAAATAAACTTTTCTAATTTGCACCGAGAACGGAAAAAGGAAACTTTTTCGGACGATAAGAATTCGCTTTTGCTTGCTTCTTTCGTATCGCGTTGAAAATTGTAATTTTATAAAGGGGATAGCAGATGAGAGAAAGATGGAAAATTGTTGGATAAGAGTGAGAGAGAGAGAGGGGCGATGTGTGAGGGATGAGATATGCATCGGAAGATCGTAATCAATGTCAAAGTGAATGGAAGGTATTTTATAAATTTCTCATGTCTTTGCAGTGAACGGTGGGTGGTCCCAATGGTCTCAGTGGACGGAATGCAATTGTCCTGGGGGAACTTTGGCATCGGGACAAAAGAGGACGAGGACGTGTACGAGCCCTCCTCCTAGCAATGGGGGAAGAGAGTGTCAAGGTCCCAGCCTCCAGAAAACAAAGGAATGTCAACCCTGTCCACAAGGTAAACAATTATTTTATAAATTACTATCCGACTAATTCTTCACACAAATTATATGAACATACCGAATACATGAACAATCACACTACACCAAGCGCTACAGAAAAAGAGAACAAATGACTAACTCCACCTAAAAACTATAAACCACTCCCAAACATCGCAAACCCGACTTTTACTAATTGTTTGCTAATTGTAATCGCTACGTTTTTCATTGTGCTTCTTCCCATGCTTTCGTTATTTAGAGGAGCTGATTGTGGATATTTATGAATTTGACGGCAATGAATTGTCGTTGGGTAAGGACTTAGTATTTATCTGTAGCCGTAGTCCATCAGGAGAAACAAAACGCGGAGCCGCGAAAAGCGCCCCTGGGAATATGCAGTCATCGTTAATTGCTATCTTTTTTGCTACGCCGCATTCTCAGTAATTAACAACTAGTTTCTATTTCCATCCCTCCCCCTTCATTTTTTTTTCCCTGTACCTGCAATAGCTACTTTAAATAATCACGCTACAAAGGCTTCAGCATGCATATGATCCAGGGGACGTTTCCTAATTGATTTCCTGATGGGCCATGTGTAATTCAATCACTAAATTGTGTTTAATTTGATCAGCCGACCCGCCGCGTTGGTCTTCGTGGTTGCCGTGGTCAGAGTGCAGCCCGAACTGCACCAAAGTTCGTAGGAGGCATTGCATTACATCGCCGGAACAAGGCACTACTACCGGTCGTTGCGGTGGGAAGGACACACAGACGTTGCCATGCTCATCGGAGATTTGCCCATCCACACAAATCCTAGATGTTCGCGAAGGTAAGCGGAATAATTGCTTGCAGTTGTAGACCGTAGTTGTTTGTATCTATGCCACCCTTCCCCTCGAAGGGCGCATTCAAAAATTAAGGCATATCATGGCAAATGGGCGTAGTGGCTCTGCTCCGCTGGGACATTAAATGTGTTGCAGCGTGACTAATTTAAATGATTTCCATAGCTAAACGTCCAGAATTGCGGAAGCTATTATAGCAAAATCAATATAACCACCCTCCACCTACTCCTGCTACCCCCATGAAGCGCGCTTTCACCAGTTCTCATCTCCCTGTATGGTTTTGGTCGGTTATAGCGCCAAGTCCCGACCGCACTGGACATAACTCGGGATTTACGTCGACATTTGGCAGCCGGTTATGACGCCTAGAAATGTTAATATTGACTGTCAGTGGACGAACCACCCTCGTCCCGCAACCCCGCCAAGCCCTAATATACACGCCCAAGAATTAATATCGCGATAATCCCTAGGTCCTCTTTAAATAAACATCCACAAAAAAGTCCTATACAACGAACACAAATCCCCGTCGATATTAAAACTTGCACCAGCTGAATTTCCAATTCCCTTCTCAAATAACAAATTAATCCTAAGGCTTACCACTCTCATACTCTACGCTTCAAGATAGTAAATAGTTTTTTCAGCTGCGCATAAAATAACATCAATTCCACAAACAAATGGCATAGTCACAGATCAAATATTTCGTCAGTTAAAAAAATATTTATAGGATTTAAGCATTATTATAAATGAGTTAACATTAAAATTAAATAACAATAATAAATATAATATACGATTACGTATTTATAATAGCCGGAAATAAACTTATATCAACATATTATATTGCTTTCTATATAAATTTACAAGTATAGAACTCAGATCATTCTGTTTAAATTTTTTCTCTAGACTGTTTATAATTATTCTTATTTCGGTGCTGTAAGATTAGGCAATTTACTAAGAGGACGAGGGCCCGCTTGGGATGGAAACGTTAAATAAAAGTGGCATGTTTCAAAAATTATGAAGTCGTTAACTTCTCAGAATGAGAAAAAAAGAGGATTGGAAGTTTTCAGTTTATATATAATTAATAAGGCCGGAGCAAGAGAGGCTGGCTGGTTGGCTGCGTCCCAAGAAAACGCTTTCAGAAACTGAATATTTTGTTAATAAGTTGACGGGTTTGAGGGAATAGTTTCCGTCCATTACCTAAACTCTCTTCAACTAAAGTTTATTTTTTTATATATGGGGCGCATTAATTTTGGACCAATTTCCATATAATAAAAAAAAATTCGTTACGATGATTTTGTGTTAAAAAAAACAGGGGATTTTGTTTAAAATATATATGTATGCGTATATGGGGAGAAGAAAGACAAGACGAAAAAAAAGTGAAACTCGTTATTCAAGCTAATATTGCCTGGAGCGGCGTTTTCATAACATCATCAAGTAACAAATCTTCTCGGCGGGATGTCACGCATATTAAAGAGATCAGAACACGGCGAGCTCTTCTATATATATATACACGTTTTACTCGACAATAACACCCTTGTAATTTCGTCCTCAAAAACGTCACTTTCAGGTCGACTGAACATCTCACTTCCTTTCCTCCCGTTCAAGGAATATGATGAATATTTGCTCAAACGTAAAATCGTTAATATCGCGGTACTTTCTTGCCTTTTATTTGTTTCAAGATGCGTGGAAAATCCACGACTTAAAAGCAAAAAAAAAAATAGAATTAAAAAAAAAGTAAAGCTGGATCTGAAAATTCCCATACATCTTCGCAATACTTTACGACAGACATACTCCCGCGCATACGGAGAGTGAATTGTAATCGTATTCCATAACTATTCACCCCCGTCACATATGGAAATCTCGATCCACCCTCCACCATCACAAAAGTCATGCCCTTTGCCAAACACCTAGGGAATGCTTTATTTAAATCTCACTGAATTCCGACGCGTCCTCTATATATTTCGCTAATACTCAAATGATTGTTTTCCATTGAAATTTTGCTCAACTACGGGCTGAATTTCAATTGCTCGCATTGTAATGGGACATCCTTACAATTTGCAGGATAAAGAATGAAAGAAAAAAATAGAGAGGCAGATAGAGAGAACAATTAAGACGCTCGATTTGCACGAAAGTAATTTACATGAATTAAAATTGATTAAACAGTAATATTCATAATGCTGGAAGTAACCTGTATAAAAAAAAACAGATTGTTTGTTCTCCACCGTTGCACAGTTTATCTTTCAATTTATCTCGGACGGTATATTCTAATCATGCATTGTTACTCGAGCCGCCTTCTCAAGAGCTATGATGAATAGTCCTCTTCGTTTCAATAAGAAAATTAAAAGTCCGCTTCGGAGAGAGAAGTAAAAAACAAGCGGAAAATTATATAATAAGAATTAAACAAGTTTAATATTCGATCAATCATTCTTCACTTTTAAGTATTTAAATTTATGCAGATGTTTATTTGTTTAAATCGATTTATTTATAATGGAAGTTATAAAATTGATGTAGTTGTTTGCGATTGAACCAAAAAATAAATAAATAAATAAAATGAGCAATAAATTTGTAGACTTGAACATTTTATCAATATATCCGATTTTGTGTGTGGTATTAAAGTGCAAGGCGACTCTCGACAGTTGAATGGTATTGGCTGGCCGTAAATGTCTGCAAGTAGCATCCTGGAAACAGGATGACACTGGAGATGTATATTTTATACAATGGATAGATCGGATGCAGGAAAAAGGGAGAAAAACTGCACCGGAAAAATATCGCGGTCCGCACGATAAATAACAATTTGCTTTATGCAGAAGCGCGCATAATCAAAAATGCCGGTCCGCTCTGTTCTTATCCTTCCTTCCTTCCTCCCACCCCGATTCCACCATCAAATTTATCGTCGCAAGCTGAGCTGCCGGTTGTAAATATTATATTGTTGGATGCAGTCCAGACGGAAAAACCAAGGTAATAGGGAAATATGTTTTCCATGGTGCGCTTCCTTTCAAACAGTTCGGAGGATATTATTTCGCGCCGAGTTTTCTTCACGCCAACTCTGAAATGAAGATGCGCCGGAGTTCCCGTGGAGGCAGATGTAAGTTTTCGCTAAGTTATAGAGCGAGAATGAGCAAGGGAACGACGAACGGCGAGAGAAGAGGGTGCATTTATAATTGAAGATCCTGTCTGAGGACTGCGTAAGGGCTCTCCCTGTAACTACACACGAAATTTCAATTTAGCGGATAATTCAAAGAATAATCAACTGGAGACCACTCGACTATTTCCCCCCAATCGACACCGGAATTATAGATTCGCTTAATTAAAATGGACAAACGTGCAACAAAAAACAAAAACAAACAAAAAAAAAGAGGCAAAACTGGAGTTCAAGTTTTAATTGGCGCAATTGCAGCAAACTTTCCATTCGCAATAATAAAAAAAAATCCGCCGTTCGGTAGCAGGTTAAATAATTTCCCAAGTGTAAAACTAATTAATTTCATTTTTTTTGGGGAATACGAGGGACCGGTTAATAAAATTCTCAGAGCAAAAATTTGCTTGGTATAATTTTTTTTTGTGTATGATGTCTTCCGTTGAAAATGCTAATATCTCGAAACAAATAACGCTCATAACGGAAGTGGACTCTGACAGAGGAAGCGTGATTATTTATGAATCTGTTGGAACAAACAAAACAAAATACGAAGTGAAACAAACAAGAACAAAAAAATAGAAATCGTATTGGACAATCTGGAAGTGTATTAATTAGTTGGTCGGGGGGGATTTGCGCCGCGGGTGGCATTCAGAAACCGTAGGTTTGTAAAACCCTTAAGAGACACGTGCTCTTGACTACTCTCACGTTAATTGCGCACTGTCACTTCCGGTAAACAAGCGCGCACGTCTCCACTTCATCTAACACTTTGTGCGGTTTCGACACATGCCACCGAATCCGATGTCGTTTCCTCCTCCTTCTTTCTCCTTGGGTTTGTCGTAGTGATGGTAATGATGGTCGCATTTCAATATCGTACCTAGGGGGTTGGCAGGGCCGACTCTCCTCATTATTAAGATTTCATCGCGCTGTTTTAATTAGCGCCCAGGGAGCCGTTTTAATAAATTCCTGGTAACCGAGGGCGCGTCGACAACGAGGCCAGATGCCGAGGCATCCCTTAAACACCGGAAAACCTATATTTAGACCCACTCCGAATGACCCTAAATGATTGATCGACACGGATCATTAAGCTTTTACTTAATCATATTCCCTCCTAAAACACATTCATCAATTAACATTTCTTTAAAATATACCAAATAAATTAAAAATTTTCATAATAGTAATGAAAAATGATACTGATGTTCATTCTAATAAAACAGTTTAACTTCAATAATGTGTGTCACATTCATTTCCACTTAATTTTTCCATAATATTACGCATTGCAAAAAGATGCATACATACTAATTGCCAATTAGTATAAATCTACTCTACTGCACCGATAACATATAATTAGTAGTTTATACGATTATTAGCACCGTACTAATTCATTGACTTTAACGAAACAATTTTATTGTGTTTGATCATATCATGAAATTATGTAATATATACAAGTCATAGTTGAGATTGTTCAAAATAATTTCAGCAGTTTCAATATAAAGCTTTGAAAATATCATATAAAGAGTATTGTTGTGCACTCAGACTAATTGAGCACCCGGCGCATCCACTATTTTTATTCCATAAATCTGTTATTAATATTATCCGATTAGAATGGGACATGTACAACAAAGTAAGTCAATCATGACAGGACCATTGACGTTTAATCCCCATTTATTTTTAATTAAAAAACGATCGTCCCTTTGTGGGGTTCTGTGGAGCAGGCAGGGTTCGCACACATTCACAATCACATATATATTTCTTCTATTTAATCGCGAGCTATCAACACAATTGCCGCAATACGTTATACCCCTGATTTTTTTTCTTCGGTTCGGCCATTGTGAACCAGCTGGGCGTGTTGGTAGTATTTTTGGG